GAAGAATCGCGTCTTCTAGCCATTTTGCTCCACAGAAATTCAAAACATGCAGGGCAAGCACAAAGACTCCTTACTGAAATGTACATGCGTAACAGCGATGGCGCCAGCTCTTGTAAGACCGACTTCTTCGAAACTCGCAAAGATTAATTTTCACACGGAAACTGTTATTTTATTTCTGTTAAAATACCTAATTTTCAAAATGAACAAAATTAATTCGCTAAGTTTTAAGCTGAAAAATAAAACAAAAATTATAAAGCACAAACAACCAAAACAGACCACGCAAAAAAGCACTATAAATAAACAGTTTTACTGTATATTTAAACGCGCCCATCTAATGCAGCTTTTTTTCAGCAAAATAATATATTTCCTCACTTAAAGTATTAAGAACACATTAAAAATGAACGTGTAAGCTCGAAATTTCATTGCATTTAACTAAGTTAAAGATCTTTTCACGCGCCTTATAAAAAAAAGTTAAGGTCAGCCTCGTTCCCATGGACTCATAAAACGAGTCTCAGAGCTTCATAATAAATCCCGTTTTTTGGTATTTTCCCGTAATGGGATTTTTTGGGACTTCTGATATGTTAATAAGAATACATTGCAGAGTCTAAAACCGTTGAAAAACCTTCTGTTGCAATTAGTAGCAGGTTGACCGATTTTTTTCCATAAAATGACTGGACTAGTGCTAACAATACAAGGTGTGAAGTTTGTCATTCTTGTAAACTGCTAGAAAATAAGTGTGCAAGGCCTTCGTTGCTGTTGGGTTGCATCAGGAAATAATCCTTGGGCCCTTACAAGGGCAAGTCGCTTTTCACTGTTGACCTATTTAAGAAGGCAGAGGTCAAACCAGGAAGGTGCTGCCTGTTCATTGGCTTAGCTATGGCTGTAAGCATAATTTGGCATGCAATGAACAAAAATGGATGAAAAAAATGAACTAGACGTAGATTTAAATGTCCACATTCTAAACTTAACTGTGGTCTTTGGATGGGAGGATACAAGCCAGACTGTAATATTCATTTGATGTCAGGTCTTTTCCTATCACTTGGAAGCAGAATTTTCCAGATTCTTTCATATTGACCCTTTTTTAATAAGACAAGGACATGGTTATTGCAGTACTGAAGACAACATTTTTTAGATAAAAAAAGAAAAGTCACTTTATTTTTATGAGCAGGTTTCTTGGATCCTCCATTAGGTAGAGGCGTCATAAAAGTTACCACTGGGACGAGACAGTGATGGCTTTGGGTACTTTTGAGTTCGGTATCCCACCCGCCCACCCTGCTAAGGCAAAAACCAAGCACAGGGACAACTGGCCTGTGGCATCCAAGCCATTGTTCAAACGCTCGAGTTGCTTTTTGAACCTTCGAACGCGGCTCTTCTACAACCTATCATTCCGAAGCAGAATTTTCCAGATTCCTTCTTTTATCATTTTCCCCCCAAAACACACAACGGGAACGTTTCGCAAGGACTACAGAGTCGTTGAAAGTAAACATTAGACTTTAATTGTGAGCCTGATTGTATTGGTCAAGATATATCAGGGCGTCGACCGTTCAACATATGCAGCAACTACAGTTCAATGTATCTAAAAGGAGACTATGAGCGTGTTCAAAGAGGACAAACAATGATAACTAGAACGTAGTTAGGGAGAATTAGTGTTCCCTAAACGTAACTAACGATACAACTATCTACAATATGGCGCTTACACGGTAAGGAGACCGGCGGGCGTACAGCTAGCCGTTAGAGGGTACTCGTTTGAGTATATGGTGGGCACATATAAGCGCGCAATGTGTCGATAACTGGCACAAGTAACGTGGAAAATATGGGGGAAAAGACTAGAGCGGCAAGTGGGAAAACGGGTACCACATTTGTCAATGTCGTTCTGCACAACGCACAACCCGATTGAAACTTGTACTCTGAGTAGTGACTGGGTTATAGACGTTGGAAGACTAGTTTGGAAAATGATGTTACTTTCTATAACAATAAGGTAAAGGACAATTTGTGTTTGCTAAATGCAACGAACGGTACAACTGTGTAGAATATGCGGCTTAGACGGTAGCGAAACGTAGCGCTTTACAGCTAGGCCTTAAAGAGTAGTCCTTACAGTATATTGTGGGAGATATGAGAACGCAATGTGTCCATAACTGGGGCAAGTAACGTGCCAGATATCGGCGAACAAAATCGATCCCGGAGTGCGAAAATGGGTACGATATTTGTCAATGCCGGCCTGGACAACGGAGAATCCAATGGAAACTTGTAGTCAAAGTAGGCAGTTGGTTATAGACGTTGGAAAAACGTTAACGAAAAGTGGCTAGTTTCTGTAACAATAACGCTCAACATATATATACGTGGGTAGTGAAGAACGTAACAGTGAATAACTGATAAGACTCACTGAAGCTAAAGTCGTGTTGATAAGGGTAGGGTTGAACGTTGAGGCTCTGGCGGAAAACCGGTTGTTGAGGCGACAAAGACGCAATTGACAAAACGGGACGTCTGCGCAGTCTTACATCAGTGTACAACGTTCAACGTTACCGTTGAATAAAAACGATTTAGTTTCAGATGTCTTGAACGTTCGTGTCTTGATAGTGGAGTTGGCGACCGGCATCTAAGAAACAAGGCGTCTTTTTAGCGAGTGACGCAGTCGTTGTTACAAGAAATGTTGGTAGACTATAATCTGTTAAACACAACTGTGCACAAGTGTTGACCAACGTATCGTAGCTGCAGGAACGATGTTGTAGTTGAATGTAGTGCGGAAGTTGTCAAGGTGGGGTACGGTATCGTGTCCACTAACGTCTCCTGCAGTACGATATGTTTGCCAAATCACTTGCTTGTTGTACACTCGGTACTCTAGCTACACTAATCAAAATAGATGTGGCGAGCGGTCGGGTGTCCCCTTTTGGCTCGTGAGCCTCGTGGCCTGCCTCGCGTTGTTCCTCTGGGTGGTCTCGTTCCTCGCGTGCGAGGTGTGGTCTGTTTTCTCTTTGTCGCTGGCGCTGAGGTTCCAGCAGAGGAGCTCGTGTCGGCACTGAAGCCGAACCTGGCCCAAACGTTACTGGTGGCAGAGGGTCTCTTCCGGCTGGCCGGTGCTTTCCCTTTCTCTGCCCTGGAGAGAGTTCCGGGCTCATGGTAGTCTTCGGGGTCTGGCTGCGTTATAAATAACGCATGCTCTGCTGATGATTCCGGGGTGTTGAATGGTTCATCTTCTTCATCCTCCTCGTCGTCGTCGTCCAGAATCGTGGTCCTTTGTCTCCTACGCGTTGGTGGACGTACGTCTTCTTCCGGCTCATCATCGTACTCGTAGTCCGCGTCTTCCTCTTCGCGATTGTCGTCGATGACGTCCCAAAACGTGCTGGTCTGGCGTGGCTGTCTGCTGGAGCTTCTCTGAGTGAGAGTGTCCCAGATGCTTCCTGCGGGTTCATCTTCTGCCACCGCCTCAGTGTGGCTGAGCGTTTGCGAGGCAATATAAGCCACCATTGATTCGCGGGACGGATTTTGCTTAAATCCCTGGACTTCTGGGGACTCACGGTGACCTTTCGCGTATTCGGCGGGATGACTAAAGAGTGTTTCCAATGTCATTATGTGTGTGGCCACCGAAAACATGGCGCCCGAGGCGGCAAACAAGTGCTTACACAAGCCCTTAAGTGTGTCATCCTCCACAAATTTCATGAGGTCTCGCAGGTCTCGCTCATCGGGCTCTTCACTGGTCGCCGAATCCTTCTTATTGAAGCGCTGCAAGACACTTCTTATTGGCCGCGCCTTGTTAAGCAACGGATCGACTGCGTGTTTTGTAAACACTTTATCCTTGTAGTCACCGAGAGTGGCAAGATTGGAATATATCGTGTCGGCCAGTTCACTGATGGCGTAATTGGGACGCGTTAGCCATTCGCAGTTCCAATGATATAGCTTATCGAGGATCTCGCGAGAGGTAAGTAATCCATGAGTCTTCCCGTACGGGGTCAAAAAGTGCTTTGTCTGGTGTTTAAAATAATTGACGCCCGTCTTACTGTCGGGAGTCCAGGGATTCTGCGTACGTCTAGACATAGCTGCAAACAAACAGTGGCTAGTGAGATTCAACGTTCAATGGTCAGCGTGAGGGATGGCTACGTATGTGTATCTCTGCTTAGCAGCTATGTGAAAACAACTTCGGTTTCTAGCGTCGGAGAACGGGCAAGATTCGCTGGCAGTGTCGTGGAACGAAATGATTGAAGTCGTTGACAATCAGCAGTGGTCAGAGTGAAAGCGGTCTCAAACACTGTGATCAACGCAATGAGACGGGTAATTCAACAAGTTGCTGACAGTGATGTTAGCTACAAGTGGTTGGTTCACGCGTAGGGACGACCTGCCGGCGTTAGCGCTCGCGTGAGTGTCACCGTCCACTGGGTATGTCTATCTGTTGCGCCAGGCATGAAGGGAAAAGTAGAGGTACTAGTGTTCGCGACGGGGGAAAACAGTGTGGTACAGTGGTGACTGTAAGTTCATGCAAGAGCTTGGGAAGAAGAGGCTCCTGAGTGTGGAACGGCTGCAAACCGGCGAAGAAGCGAATCGGACGTGTCAAGTTCAATACGTTGCTAGTAGAAGTAATGTCGAGGAGTCGTTTGGTGGCGGCGCGACACACACTGTTTAGGACAGGGCTGGATTAAGCTGGTCTGCCAGTATGGGCGTCATGATTTTAATATCTTCGCTCTTCCTCACGCGAGACAAAGCGACATATCCCATACCACTGGGCACAGCAGGGCAGTCAAACCACAGCAACAGCTTCCGGATGTTAGCACCTTGGGTCTTACAGATGGTCATACAGTATGCTGGGTTCAACGCGTAGTGCACTCTACTGCGCCCGTCGTCACTGATGGTCGTGATAGGGTGGGTAAAGGTTGTCTTCCCGTTGGGAAACCTGAGAAGGAGCGTGTTGTTGTGGCTGTTCAAAATCGTCGCCAACTGCCCATTCACTACACCGGTCCGCTTATCAAGATTTTGCGTCACGACCATGCGCATATCACGAAAGGGGAGGAACTAGTGGGCGTCGTTTTCCAAAGGTATGGCTGAGACAGGTGTTTGGTTGTCGAATCCCCGACTGATAACGATGTTGTTTACCCGGTTGGCGGCAGCGCGGGACACGGTCAGGAACGTGGCATCTGGGGCATCCTGCAGGGTATGCCAAATGTCGAAATCGGTGATATCTGATTCCCGAAACAGCAGGAGCGGTCGTTGAAAGTTGTCCAGCACGTACTGTTCGGGACGAGAATAACGGATATACTGCAGGAAATCCATGTACGCTTTGTCGGTGCACCGGAACTGTTGATACAGGGAATGGACCTGACAGACTTCACGTAGGCGGCGGTTCTTCAAGATGGACGTGGTTTGGGTCGTACGGCCGTTAATGGTTTGCAAAGGTGGTTGTTGACATTCATCGCCAGCGATGATGACGAGGGGTCGATGGGGCTGCTTTTCCAAGGTGTCGTGGACCATATCAAAGGTGTCATCGGCCACCATCGAAGCCTCGTTGATGATAACAGCATCGTACGTCCCGATCTTGTAGTTAACCACGTACTCTTGGTCCGCCGCAACAGGGATATTGAAGAGAGCGTGGATAGTATCAGCCTGCAGATCCGGATGGAATTCTTCCCTGTAGTTTGTAGCAAGAAGACCCAGGGGAGCGCACACAGCAACAGAATATTCCCGTTCGATGAGGGTGTGGATGAGGCGCTTCACCACTTGAGTCTTCCTAGTCCCGGGGCACCCTAACAAGAGTTGGTATTTCGCGTAGTCGTTGGAGTTGGGGTCAGTGACTTCGTCGGTGGAGCGACTGCGTGCACTTGACAGTGGGCCGTAGATGGAGCATCGGCGGGTCTCCACAAGAGAGAGATATCTGGAGTAAATCGCTCGCTGCTGCGGTGAGAGAGGGTATTGAAGCTCAAACTGAGAGCGGTCAGAGCTGGCGAAGGTGCAGTCGATCACTCCCAGTTGCCACAGCGCGTAGATGTCGTGAAGCGATTGAATATAGAGGAGGATCGTCTCCAGATAGCTCCTCTTGTGGGATTCACTGGACAAGTAGTGCAAGATGGCGTCTCTGGACCCTAGCATCTCCGGCAGCTTCTCCGCGGCTGGAACGAAGTATTTGATCGGTTCTGGTAACCGCTCTTCGCGGGCATCGTGGAGGTCATCGACGGTGCGGTGAGGCCAATTCATAACCAGCAACTGGTAGAAATAGATGGGGTTGAATGGCGACAAGTGTTTCACACCAACGAGAGTAGTGCCGTGTTTATATCGTTTGGGAGGGTTTTTCTCATGGTCATACTCGCGGAGCCACTGCAGAAATGTGAGATGTTGGTCTGGTTCAGGACGTCCAAGGTACTTCAGGTGGACCTTATGTTGGGTCTGCCCAGGTGTTGGGGCTGTAAAGGCCTTTGTTCGCGAGTTGGTCCACGCGATCTTCATGGAGGTAAGCTGAAGTACCATCTCCGGTTCCAAGGGATGCATGTTCTTCAGGAATGATGTAGCAGCCTGATACGCGCCAAGGTCGACGGAGTAGAGTTGTTGGGTTTTAACTGCGTCGTGACGCTTGGCGACGTAGGAGGTGACGTATTTCAACAGCATCGCCTTGCCATCGGAGGATTGGACGTCCATAGAACACTGCAGGGAACCAGTGACGGCCGGGACAAAAGCGCGGAGGTTGCACCCTTTGTCCGTTGGACTATGATGGAACGCCAAATAGGTTTCATTATTTTCCGTGAGTACCCGGTTGGGTCCCTGTCTTAGGGGAAGACAGCTGGTCCTGGATTTTTGTAGGTCGTATACGAGGAACGCTTCCTCTACATTGCCCCACGGTATAGTTGCAGATAGTTGCGTCACATCAATCTCCGTCATGTCCTCTAACCATATCAGGATGTGGGCGTGAAGAGTGCCCCTCTTTTGAAACTCGAAGCGATAAAAATAGTTGCTGACGTTGTTCGCAGAGGGGTCACTCTTCTTGGCAAACAGATGGTTCTTCCAGCGGCTGGTGTTCGTTCCACATAAGTACCCACGTATGTATTGTTCGAGCACGTGCGCAATATGAATGGTCTCCGCTATGGGTAGTTCCGTGGCATCTTTCCCGGTCTTGTTTCGCAGATGCTGGAGCCACGGGGGACATGGGAAGGTCCACTCAAAGGGCGAAATAGTAATGAAGATAGACGGGAACCCGAATTGGCGTACTCCATCGATCAAATACCGGTGCTGGTTGGTCCAGTATTGGTGACTGAATGTTTTCGCCTCTAGTGCGGTGGCCGGTGAGCATTGCGCTTGTTTTGCAGAGTTGATGGCGCCGGTGATCGTTTTGAAGAGCCAACGATCGTAATGATAATGTAACAGATCGTAATTCGTGGCGTAATCACAGATGGGGGAGGCCACTTTGGTCATAAAGGAAACCTTGCCCCTTTGCGACTTTCTTGGCCCTCCAGGAAAGACTCACAGAGGTTATTCTCATAGTACAAGTGTGGCCATAGCGCTGCCTCAACTCCGTGGAAGTATTCATGTGAGAACAATTCGAATATCCACGGCTCGCGCACGTGACTTCGGTGCATGTGAATAAACTTCTTATATGAGCAATCTGTCTTCTTCATCAGGTAATCAAAAGCAGCTCGGGTGCGTCTCCTGGACACAGGATCCCTGATGTTTGCTATTTTCGTCTCAACGTCTTGCTGCGCCCATTTGATTTTAAAGGGCTCTTCGCGCACTCTATAGCCGAACATCATGCGATTGTATCGGCCAGAGAATGCGCGAAAAGGACGGAGAGCATAAATGTCGTCCATTGTGAGATTCTGCAGAGCAGGTGGGACTTTGCTGGGATGTGGTACCTTGTATCGGTTACTGGTGCAGCTGTATGAGCTACAAGTGGTGGGCTTCGGACGCTTCCAGTAGCCCGGCAGAAGCTTCTTCGACTGGAGAGATCCACATCGTCTACAGTAGGCCCAACTCATGTGTTCCGCCCAGAATCGTAGGTCATCGGCCAGCTCTGTAAATACAGATTTCGTCCTCCTTGCGTGACTCGGGGTTCTAAACGCTCTCAGAAATTCTTCTTTTCGTGTTGCACGCTTACGTAAACGTTCATCGCGGCGTCCAGCTCTCGTGTCATTCAGCTGACGTAGGTTTGTACTGCGTAAAATCAGACGTGACGGACGCTGTCGCCAGTATCGTTCGCTGGACTGTTTGGTCCATTTTGCCCGAGGCATTTCTGAGAAGCGAACAGAGATACGCGGTGTAGAGCCTTTGCAAGATCAACAAAGATACACATACGTCGCCCGAGGAAATCTACAATCAACATCGGGTGTATTTGGTGTACGCAAAGTACAGAGTGTTACCACTGAGACAAAACGGCACACCAACATTCGGTCAATGACAGTCCCGAGAGTCCGGAAAAGACGACCGACCGTTTAGTAATGCCATGTTACCTCAGACTGCATACTAGTAGTGCTTTAAGAGCCTCCTAAGTACGTTCTGCAGCAGCAACAATAGATAAGTCCTATATAGAGTGACAGCACGAGTATTGCTCTATGCACGAGTTCATCCCCTTCGGAGGAACAAAGTGCCTGCACAGCCAACACCTTTCTGAGACACTCTGTCAAAACACGCGTACTAATCGTTGCTTTAGTAGCCTCCTAAGGACGTTCAGCGTTTTACTACAGTAGAAGGCTGTGTCGCGGAACTATTGACCGCGCTATAACAGTCGTCCACTGTAGTGTGTTACATACATTAATGACTTAGCAAAGCCAGCGTACTCCTCTTTGCACTATTTGTCAACCTACGGAGTTTCCGCCAGAGTCATACACTTTCACAATCGTGTCTACCAGTCTCTGCTCAAGGAGCTTAACTAATGACTTTCGACACTACAATACAGTAAAGACCTGATACTTACTGTAGAAGTGATGTGTCTGTTACTGCTAACCGAATGGAGAAGCTAACAACTGGCTATAACAGTAGACTGATCTGAGTAACAAACAAACGTTCGTTAAATATGACAAAACAAAAGTCGCAACAACAGTGGAAAGTTGCTTGTTGCTATCTTGTCACCCAAAAACACGTATCATACTTACAGGAAGTAAACGTTCGTGGACTCTGCGAGCACACAAACCGCAACGCTACAGCGAGAAATTAGCAATACAACCTGCGGACAGAAAAGCACAATCAAGACGTCTGTTATTCTAAATGAGAGATCATGCAGTCAGACACGGGATACAACTTTCACGAGGCGCGAATGTATGCTACTTACAAAGACAACAACTCTACTTGCAGTGGAAGATCTCAACAAGACTCAATGTGAAACAAACAACTCGGTGACCTAAAGAAAGAGAAGCATCGATCAGGTTACGAAGAACGAGATGTGTGAATCATGTACGCAATGTTGACATTCAACAATTCTCACGCCAAAAGACGCAACTAGACTTACAGTAAATATACGTTCGTGGACTCTGCGAGCAGATGATAGCACAGGATCCAGTAACAACGTAGCAATACAATCTGCAGGGACAAAAGCAATACGGAGATTTCCATTATTGCAGATCAGAGACCATCGGTTTACAACGGGACAATACGTTCAGAAGAACGGAATGATATGCTACTTACAAACACGAACTTTCTTTGTCGTGGAACAACCGCGGAACAATGAATATAGAAGAAACAGGTGAATCACCTAGAGACCAAAAACGATCAATGACATTAGCAACAAGAGTATGTCTCCACACGTGTGATTGATGTACCCAATTTTAGCATTGAACGATACTCACGCAACAACACGTACCTACACTTGTAGGAAATATACGTTCGTTGACTCTGGAAACAGATAACACCAATCGATCAAGGCGCGAGCTACCAATAGAACCTGCACAGAGAACGGCAATATAGATATGTCTATTATTCTGAATGAAACATAATCGAGTCAGACCTGAGATACATGGTGACCACAATATAGACAGAACCAGAGCAGAAAATGTACCTTATCGACTATAAACAGACACTTGTATGGTATTACCCAACTCGTAAAAACTGTAAACAACGCATTTCACAATTCCAGGTACAGTCATAAATTATTCATGAGCACTATATGCGCACAGGAGAGCAAATTGTCAGTCATTGACTATTAACAAACAGGTTCATACCCTAAAGTGATGTCTACTGACTGTAAAAAGACACTTTCACGATCGGAATAGACTCATGAATTATTGATGACCACTACATTGACAGAACTACAGCACCAATTCTCGTTGATCGACTTTAACGATACAGTTGTATAGCATAACCAGACTCCTAATGAGTCCAGCTGACACATTCACATTTCACAGTCAAGTAATGAATTATCCATGACCACTATATGCAGACAAGCACAGCAGAAATTGTCAGTTAATGACTATGAACAAACACGTGCATGAACGATCCTGGTGTCGCAGGACTCGGAAAACCCACTTTCTCGATCTCCAAGAAACTCATGAATTATTCATGAGCAGTATACAGACACAACCACAGCTCAAATTGTCTGTCACCGACTATAAACAGACACTTTTATACACTTACAGGGGTTCTAATGAGTGTAAATAACAACGTTCACGATTCCCAGTGACTCATGAATTATTCATGAGCACTATGTGCACAGAGCGACAGCATTAATTCTGACTCATTGACTATTAAGAAACAGGTGCATACAAGAAACTGATCTCTCATGGGTCTAAAAATGCACTTTCTGCAGTTGGAATTAACTAATGAATTATTCATGACGACTATATAGATGCAAGCACAGCACATATTCCCCCTAATTGAGTATAAACGGAGACTGTTATAGACATAGACGACTTCTAATGAGTGTAAATAACACCATTCACGATTCCCAGTGACTCATGAATTATTCATGATAACTATATGCACACACCCGCAGCACTAATTCTCACTGATTGGCTATTAAGAAACACGTGTATACAGGAAACTCATCTCTCACGGCTCTAAAAACGCATTTTCGGCACTTCGAATGGACTCATGAATTATTCATTACGACTATATGGACGCAACCAGAGGACATATACCCCCTAATGGAGTATAAACAGACACTTGTATAGAGTCACAGCACTTCTAATGAGTGTAAATAAGAAGTTTGACGATTCCCAGTCACTCATGAATTATTCATGACGACTATATGGAGACAGCCACAGCAGGAATCCTCAGTCAGTGACTATTAACAAACACGTGCATACAGGACACTGATGTCTGAGGCCTCTAAAAACGCTGTTTCTGCAGTTGGAATTCACTCATGAATTATTCATGACGATTATATGGATGCAAGCACACCACAGATTCCCCCTCATCGTCTATAAACAGACACTTCTATACCGTCCGACGACTTCTAATGAGTGTAAATAAGAAGTTTCACAATAGTGGGTACACTCATGAATTATTCATGACGACTATATGGACACAACCACAACACCAATTCTCAGTCACTCACTATGAAGAAACACGTGGATACGGCAAAGTGATCTGTGACTGCTCCAAAAACCCACTTAACAGATTTTGCATTCCCTCATGAATTATTCATGACCACTATATGGACACTGCCACAGCGGAACTTCTGACTTATTCATTATCAACAAACAGGTGCATACACTTAAGCGACCTCTCACGAGTTCGAAAAGCCAGTTTCCGCGTTTTTTCCATACACTCATGAATTATTCATGACCACTATATGGAGACACCCATGACTGAAATTTCCACTGGTGCACTATTCAAAGATTGTCCGGGAGCTGCCTCGTACCCAGACGTCTCTCTTTAAACGTGCGCGCAAAGGAAGGCGGGAAGGAGATAACGGGCGAGACGTCTGGCAGATCTTGTTTTCAAGATGGCGGGAAGAGTAATGGCGGACAAACATGCAATTTTTAAAATAAGTTCACCCCTGTGCATTTTGCGAATTTTGAGCGAATCATTGCCTATCCACGTCGTGTTTATGAAGAGGAAGCTGTTTTCACCCCACACATTGGACATTGGATTTGACATAATGTTTACTACCGAACTTTAAATCGAAAAACTACTAGCCGCGGACGGGACAGTACTGCCTTTAATTTTCATGAAATTCCGCACGCCAAGGTAACAGCCGGTCAGGAAATTTAGTAAGTTAGTAATCGTTTCTGTTAAGGTCCCTAGTGATGAAACGATCTCTTTAGTCGAAGTGAAAACATGATGGCGAGCTGAGAATTGTGAGAATTGTTGCAACAGCCAAATGAAGCCAAATATTTTGTAAAGCTTTAATACTATTTGCTGCACGCTGCATCTTGAGTACTCGAAAAGGGAACAAACCAGTCTGACTAGTCTCAAGACGTCTAAGTTATGTTATTAAATAGATAATAAATCTGCTAAATTTTTGTCTCAGGATTTCGCATTGTGTATCATTTGCACGACAATGTAAGCTTATGTACTTACAGGAAAAACAGCCACAAAACTAGCTCTAGGCTTTTTTTAACTTGCATTTTTTTATTGTTCGATCACCACTGGGTACTAGACTTGTCGCTGAATGCACAGCCTGGTGTAAATAAATCCTACTTACTTTTTATTTATATGCCTGGTCTCTATTGTTTTCTATTTGTTTTTGTGATATTGCACAGTAGACCAATTTAGTTTTGCCATGCTCTTTTATAGCACATCACGTGTGTCTTAAATTATTGGTAACTTTGATTTTAAGATGATAGACAATTTTGTTACCCTGATGGAAGAGGGCGATGTGGTTGATGAGATACCACCGTAACTACCATTTAGCCAGACAGGAGACATAGCCCTAGACACTTTTTAAAAAAATAATTGTGTTTGAATATTTCAAATTTCATAGCAAACAAGATGCTGTGAATGCCATTTTAGAGAATAATGATTGCATTGTCCTAATGCCAACTGGTGGTAGGAAAGACTGAGTATTATGAAGTTCTTGGGATCATTCTACCCAGATTCAACATTGTTGTTCCTGTGATTGCTTATACATGGTTCCTTTCTTGGCAAACCTGTGGTAGCATAAAATTCCCCTCACAAGTCTTCTGAAGGGGTAGTTTTTGACCTGCTTTGGAGTTGTAGAGGAATACAAGATCATATCATAATTATCAATGGACCCAGAATTGCCAAATGCAAAAAACATTAACATAAGTATAGATGGTTCTGCAGAACTACTAACCCCCAACCCCCTTCCTAGAAATTTTAACTACAAAATTAT